TAACATATAATGTATTATTTGTTTCAGAGGTACAGGTCTGTGATTCAACAGTCTTACACAATTCAAAGTGCTCACCATAGCACATACCCTCCCCAATGTCTATCACCCAGCCACCCCATCCCTCCCACCCCCTACCACTCCAGCAACCCTCAGTTTGTTTCCTGAGATTAAGAATTCCTCATATCAGTGAGATCATATGATACATGTCTTTCTCAAGATATTTATTTCTTAGGACAATATCACTTAGCTTAGCTCTTTACTATTGGGAAGAGTTTAGTTTTCAACTTTAAACTCAGAAATTTCCTCTTTGTCCATCCTTTGGTCAAAAGGATGATTATTGTCAATATAATACCATTCTGCAAAATACCAGTCTGACCCCAATCATTCTACTGATAGAGAAGAAAAAGAACAGAATTCAGAAGACAGGGTATACATGAGCTTAATATATATATATATTTTTTAATCAAACTTGACAATCTTCTTTGAACACTGGAAGAGGGAGGTCTATAGTGCCAAAAACACTGTACAAGGAAGCATGTCATGAAATGACCTGATTAAATGCTTTTTCTTTTATTTTTGAAAGAAACTACACTGTCTGGTAATTATAAAGGCAAAAAAATTGTATCCTTACTTTATAAAAAGAAAATCAGAAAAGTTGACAGTGATATACAAAATGACTAAATAAAGAGTAGGAATTCTAATTAAATTAAGTAAAGGAAAAACAACTCTATCACTAACTATGAGATTCAAAATACTTATCTTCTCTAAAGGGAAAGAGGTCTAAAAACAGCTACCAATTATCAGTTATGAATATGTAAAATCAAGAGATTATCATCTGAAACTATATTTGATGTTAAATAAAGAGAAATAATACATTTATGTATTTTTAAATGCCTGGTGAAAATGAATCAATGTCTTAATATTCTTTTTTCCTTCTATGATTGGTTACCTTCTAGTTTTTTTCTCTGTGCCAAGTATAATCAATCACATTGCAACATAGAGAACCTCAAAGGAAATCTTAATGAACACACTTTCTATACTATCATTAGTACCAAAGGAAAGAAAACAAAAAGTTAAATACAATATGTAACCTAAGATAAAATGAGAAAACTTCATTCACTAAAAAATTAAACTGATGGAAGTATTAGAGTAAGATCAAAGTAATACTCAAGAGAATAGAAGCTTTTCAGTTGTGATCTCAGGAATACTAAAACTTCTTTAAAAAGATAATGTATTAATAAAAAAAGTTTAAAGATGACTTTAGAAACATCAATAACTACCTTTAAAAAGGAGATGCTGATAGTGAATGAGTTCTAATACTACATTTTTCAAAAGTATAATGTGACATTATTAAGCATTATAATAAAAACAATAATAATGAAAATATGCCTTTGAAACTAACGACACTCCTATTGGTTTCCTTTGCCCTGTTGTGTTTATCATCCTGTTTTCCAGAGCTCCTGTCTGGCTGCTCTTTTCTCCTTGTTTCAAAACCACAAGGAGATTTAATATCCATTTTTGGAGGTGAGAGTAAAGATAATGAGGCTACGTGAGTCATTTAGGAATCTTTAGTGTGATAACAGAGAACATTTAAGAAGTACTTTTCAGCAACAGAATGAATTCTAGAAATTGCACTGTAATTACCTCAAATCCAATCTTGCTTTATTATTTAATATTTCTTTGTTAGTTACACATATGTTCTCTAGTGAATGGAAAGCAATTCTGACACAAGAAATTAACAAAACAGTGGTACCTGCAGATCTCCTTGGCTATGTGAGTCCTACAGTTCTAATGCCCCTATATCCTCATTCAAAAATCAGTGTCACTGAGATATTACAGGCTTAGATGCTATTTAGCACAGGCTAAGTTTCCTGGACTAAACACCATAGGATGAAGAGATGACATCACTGTTGCTGTGAAAATTATTAAGGGGTACCCCAAAACAATATCTATATAAATGTACTGTTGAGTTTATCTTACATGTATTTGCAGATGATTTGTTTTGCTTACGTATCACAAGAATTGACCTTATTTTAATAAAAATAAACCATGAGATCAGTGTAACTGGTTTCAGGGGTTGTAATGGTGGAAAGAAACAAGCTGCTGAAAGGATGTGGACAGACCTCTTGTTCTGATCAATACCTTTTCAGAGAAGACTGAAGAGGATAATAGTTTAATTCTCTTGGTACTGGATATATTTTTGGGTCTTTTTTTAGTGGGGTGGAGGGGGATACAGAGTGTAACAGGCATATGGTTTTCACAAACCTTTACAAACAATGTGCATCCAGTCTTTTTTTTTTTTTTTTCATGGATTGGAAGGACAAATATTGCTAAAATGTCTATATTACCCAAAGCAATCTATATATTTAATGCAACCCCTACCAAAATAGCACCAGCATTTTTCACAGAGCTAAAACAAACAATTCTAAAATTTGTGTGGAACCACAAAAGACCCTGAAGAGCCAAGGGAATGTTGAAAAAGAAAAGCAAAGCTGGAGGCATCACAATTCCGGACTTCAAGCTCTATTACAAAGCTGTCATCATCAAGACAGTATGGTACTGGCACAAAACAGACACACAGATCAATGGAACAGAATAGAAAACCTAGAAATGGACCCACAACTCTATGATCAACTAATATTAGACAAAGCAGGAAAAAATATCCAATGGAAAAAAGATGGTCTCTTTAACAAATGCTGTTGGGAAAACTGGATAGCAACATAGCTATGAAACTGGACCATTTTTTTAACACCATACACAAAAATAAATTAAAAATGGATGAAAGACCTAAATGTGACACAGGAAACCATCAAAATTCTAGAGAAGAACACAGGCAGCAACCACTGACATCAGCCAAAGCAACTTCTTACTAGAAACGTCTCCAGAGGCAAGGGAAACAAAAGCAAGAACTACTGGGACTTCATCAAGATAAAAAAACTTCTGCACAACAAAGGAAACAATCAACAAAACTAAAAGGCAACCTATGGAATGGAAGATATTTGCAAATAACATTTCTGATAAAGGGTTAGTATCCAAAATGTGCATCTAGGATCCAGTCTTAACACATATCTCCTACCTCAAAATCTTCCACTTCAGAGTGCGTGTGTGTGTGTGTGTGTGTGTTTGTGTGTGACATGAAAGGCAGGACAGTGCTTAAGAACCCATACTTGGGCGGCTAGATTGCGAAGTATTCACTTGCTGTGTAACTTTAGAGAGGTTAGTTAACCTGTAAAATAGGAATAATAATGGAATGTTATCAATATAAAATGAGTGTCATTGTTAGGATCAAATGAATTTATTGATGTAAAGTTCCTAGAATAGTGCTTAGCACATGAAAAGTGCTCAAAGGTGTTAGCTCTTATTACGTGTTCCCAAGGTAGGTATATACTTTTAATTATTAGATTAGATAAATATATCAAGGTAGGTAAATATGAAAGGAAAATTATATTCTTAAATCTAACAGATACTAGTTTAAAATACTTGCCCAAATTAATTAACCATGATTTTACTGTCTTCCACCCAGATAAATCATGTTTTTATGACTCTCTAACTGGGAAATAATAAAAACCTCATTCTTAGGGATCTAAAAACAATTCTTATTTTTTCATACTCTTACTTCAGAAACAAATTTTTAATTTCATAAAATTTTTTTTGATAGCTGCCTCATATACTTGAATTCTCTACTCTTTTCTATAGAGCAAATAACAGAGAACTGATGAATACAGGATCCATCCATCCATCAATTCATTAATAAATTATTTTCTGACTCACTACAATGTACTAGGCCCTATGTTCACACAAAATCTACAAACCAGCTTCTCAAAGGGAAAACACTGAAAAATTGGAAACTGTGAATGGGATATTGAAGCCAACTGAGAATGATAAGCAAAGAAGGTAAGAAAAAAGCTAATAAGTAAGTGAACTACCTCAGAATCAGTGATGATATGAGAGAAGGACTTTAAAGACATTATACAGTCCAGTGGTTCTTAACTCTTTAAAATCGTATCAATGTACCTGAGGGGTAAGACAATATATAGCTTTCATTTATAATATATATCTTGACTAATGTGCTAACACAGTTCTGTGGGAAATTATATTTAAACTCAACAAAGACAAAATGCATATATAGTATGCTGAAAGGAAAATGAAGAAAATACTCCTAATAGTAATTTTAGCTTCAATATAAAATTTAGTTCTTAGCTTCTTGGCCAAAAAACAAAACCAAACACAGTATAGTTTTTGTTTTTGTTTTTTTTACCATGTGCTAAATCTGGTTGTATTTTTATTTTGGAAGGGGGACAGGGGAGGGAGTTGAACAGCTTTTCTGGCATTAGTTAATTCTAAGAGATCCTAATTGTGTGTCCTTATGTAAAGAAACTTCAGGAACATCATAGATTCAACAAGAAAGACCCAAAAGAAGCAGTACGAAAAGTTTTCAATTATAATTCATAGAAGTTATTATATTGAAGGATAGGGTGATCATCTGGCTGTTGAGGATAGCCCAGTTCATACTTATTATCCTGGCTTAATATTAATAGTGACCCATTCCATTCTCAGAAGTACCCAAGTTTGGATAATATAGTATGTAGGGAAACTTGGTCCAAATATGTTGCTCTGTAGTGATCTTGTTTGACAGAGGAAAAGATTTTAAAAACAGTTTGCTGATGGGGCACCTGGGTGGCTCAGTCGTTAAGCGTTTGCCTTCGGCTCAGGTCATGATCTCAGGGTCCTGGGATCGAGCCCCACATCGGGCTCCCTGCTCAGCGGGAAGCCTGCTTCTCCCTCTCCCACTCCCCCTGCTTGTGTTCCCTCTCTCTCTGTGTCTCTCTCTGTCAAATAAATAAAATCTTAAAAAAAAAAAAAAAATAAACAGTTTGCTGAATTTCTAGAGACACTGGCTGGCAGCAATTTAAGGACCCAAATTAAAAGAGAAGGTATGAAATACAGAAGATATAATCTCTTTATATGAAAAAGCAATACAATAATATCATGAAACTCACACTCAAAATTGAAAGCAATTCTTCGGTACCACATTCAGGTTTCAAACGCTCTTTGAACATTTTAACTGTTTGGTGCTTCAGATAGTAGTAAGAAGCAATTCGGCCGTATGTCAGAGGTTCAATGCTCCGATTATCCTATTTCAAAAAGAAAGATAAAATTACAAATAAAAAGTACAATAGAAGCACACAGATTCATAAAATTAATCGTTCTTACTGCAGGCTGCTATTGCAACAATTTTGTTAACATTTTTGGTTATCATTAGAACAAAAGCCCTACTGTTAAAAAGCTGGGCAGTCTTTGCACGTGGAATGTATATGACTGAGTCATACCTCTCCAATTTCAATACAGTAGGAATGTTCCAATTCAACCAGAGACTTCTCAACCAGACTAGACAGAAATTTGTTCACAGAATCATGGCTCACATCACTCAAATTGTAGTAGCTGGAAAAGAAGCAAGGTCATTATTTATTTCAAGATAGTTTCTACTAAAATTAGCATTTCAATTTTTTATCATTCTATTTTTCTTTCAGAATTTCAAAGAACAACTACACTTATGACAAATCAAAGAAGTAAAACAACTGCCAACTGCCAGTTTCATCGTACAGATCAAAATTCCCATACTAAGATTTGCGGACACGAACAATGAGAATACATTAAAACTATGTAAGATAAGCAGATAAAATTCAGCATCACATTAAAAAGATACTAACTTTCCAGTGTTAAAACTGGCATGACTCCACTTTATACATCTACAGCAAACTAAATGTATACACTAGATTTAGAAACAGAAGCATATTATATATAAATATATAATTCCCTTTTATATATAAAAACCCATCCTCAGTAACTTTATAAAACTCAAAGAACTATTGATTTGGGTAGATGAATTCTTTCAGGAAATTTAGTCATTTATTGTTCTCTAAATGCTTAATAACTACATGTCACCCTAAATATTGGAAGGACATCAAGCTAACAATGAAGCATTTGAACTAAGCTTCTATATACAAAAAACACACAGGTTCAGCTCTGTATATTTTCCGAGTAAAAGGCTGAAGGACATGCAATTCACCTGAATGATCCTCCCTCTCAGTCCAAAAGTGTCTTGCCAAATATCTAAGATCGCTAGGAATCTGTGCCTGGGAACGGATTCAAAGGGTGACAGAATGCCCCCATGTCATGGCTGATCTCTAATTCCTGGTGGTGAATCCTATACCCCGGTCAGCATAGAGAATTGTATGTCCTATCTCCATCCAAATCAAGCAACAGGAGTGTAAAGTGACCTCAGGACAGACTCATCACTGGCCCCCAGCACAGAGGTTGTACTTCTGTACAGGACTAGAAAGGGGATATTCTTGGTCTGGGAAGAAAGTGTTAACAATCTCAAATGCGAGAGGCCTAAAGGAAACCATAACTGGCCAAGTATGGTGACTATTTTTTCTTTCTTCAAAGGGAAAGATTTGGGGTCAGCATACGGTAATAATTTATTTAAAGATACACAAAGTAGGACTTAAATGATGGCATGATATACTTTCAATAGAAAGAGAAGTTTGCACAAATGGCTAGATATACCAATATGAGAGCCTCCACTGAATAAGGATTAATAACAGACTATTTACTTGGGAAAATAACTGTAAATCGTAATTATATGCTGATGATTTTAATTTTCACAAAAGAGAAATAGTTACTTTTCATTTTAATCTGCAGAGAAATTATTGCCTTTCCTGGAAAAGTTCTTGTCACAGACCAAAATAAAGCAATATTTATCAGTGAACAGATAAATAAGTATTGAAACCAGTGTTGTTGTTAATTTAAACAAAATGTACAAACTTTTATCTAGGCATATAAAGTGAAAATCAAGCATTAGAAACCATTAGAAAATACTTCCTTTATCCTGAAAAATGACTAAAAGGAGTATTAGTTAGAATAATGTATTCTGCTGTAGAAGGTGAAAATAAAAATTCTGGACATTCAATGCCCCATAAAAGAGATCTCTAAAGCCATTCCAAATTATTAGTGATACTTGTTGTCTTTCATTTTTTTCCAACAAATGGAATTTATCAGCCAAACTTTCTACAACAGAATTGCTTATTTTATATTTCACATTCTTTTGGATTGCTAAATCTATACATTTTCTAACACGATTTTCAGCTGTCTGGATTAATATATAGTTGATAAAATTATTTCTAAATTGAAAAAAAAAAGCAGTGAAAATGTGCCCAGGAACTGAATAAGTAATAGAATTTCTAGACCAAGAATCAAATAATTTTTTATGCAATTAAAATTACAGAAGGAAGACATTATGCAAATAATATTACCATGAAAAACAAAAAGTTAATTTCTCCCTCTCCCTCTGCCTGCCTCTCTGCCTACTTGTGCTCTCTCTCTGTCAAATAAATAAATAAAATCTTTAAAAAAAAAAAAAGAAAAAAAAAAGAAAAAAAAAGTTAAAATACCATTTTTGTCTAAAAATTTACTAGGCAATTTAAAACAAAAAAATCTCATGGATGCTGCTACTGATTACCATAAGCCATTACCCTATAAATATAACTGAGTAACAATTTTACCATTTTTTACTTTAACAAATTTAGTATAATAATAACAATTTTACCATTTTTTACTTTAACAAATTTAGTATACTTACAAATAATATTTAAAACCATCTATGATAAAAATTTTCCTTCAAAAATTATAAATTTTTAAAATATTTATTTTAGCCACTGTTTTATGTATTTACAAGGTATATTCTGATGGGCTAATACCCTTTCTAATGTTTGTCTAAGTTTATTGGGAAGTTTTTAAGACTAATTTGTAGCTTTTATTCAGATAAAGTACAGTCAGGGTAAACATTTCTTAAACATTTAAAATAAGTTGCAAAAACGAAAAAAAAAAAATCCAATTAAAATTATGTCTCTGAGATTACAACAAATTATTTGATGACTACATTACATATACTCTAATTTGCTATAAATCAACACATTTTTCAGAATAACTTAAAAAACTTCCAGGTATTTTTTCTTTTCTAATGCTCTCACCAACACTCTCACACTTGACTTGCCTAAGAGAAGAAATGCAAAAATTCAATTTAAGTAATTGAATTGACATTCAATTTACTCAGTATCAATACTTTTATCTTTATGGAATCTGGGGGTAATCTAGAATTAAAAAAAAAAAATCCTGAAATTGTTTACTTCGGGTATCCTGGCATATATAAATGATAACTTTTATTTATTTATTTTTAGAAAGTGATAACTTTTAAAAATAGAAAATGCTAGATAAAATATTACATTCAAGAATAGGAAAATCTCAAACATTAAAAAACTTGTCTTCTATACACCCAACACAAACACTAACATGCGTAATTTTTGTTGTGATGTAACTTCACTGATTTATACTATTATTCTTTGCTAATATTTGACCTAAGTTTACTTACAACACTTCCAAATCCTTATAAAAGTAAGATTTCCTACATCTTAATCCTAATTAACCTACGCTATATAATTTATAAGACACTGTAAAATAAACTAAATGTAAATGAAATTATGTCTAGGTCACATATAATTTTGAGAGGTAATATATTCTGACAGTTTTCTGTGAACAAATAATGGAGTTTATATTTACATGATCTTCATTAGCATTATATGGCCTTTGCTTCTACTGCATGAACTTTTCAGTCACGGGGTAATTTCTAGCCCAAATAATTATAAGCATTTAGCTTAAAACATTATATAACATTAATATCAACAATCACTTCACTAACTTGAAAAAGCAAGCAAGAGCTAAGTAAAAAGGTCTGTTTTCATGTTGCACTCTCCACAGTACAAAATTTACAATTTACTGGTTATTAAAACAGAAATATTACACAACTGTTTAATTACAGATAAAGGATACAATGTAGTTTCATGCTCACTGCATTGGATCATCAAGTCATTGTCTTTTCTCTGCCATAAACAGACAGCCTACCTTTTTGTCAGCATGCTATTTCATTTATTTCACAGAGAAACCCAGTTTCACAATAATTGACTTGTCAGAAGCTCTAATTTATGAGGCTGAGCTCTGTAAGATTTCTCTATATTGGACTCAACCTGCACACAAGCAGGGTTGAATATTTACAATGCTGTTAACAGGTGCTGAGTTGTTTAATGATTCTAATAGCCAGAAGCGTACTGAGAAAGCCAGCGGGATCACAATTACAGGCTGTTTGAACACAACAATTACTAGTCCCCTGGGAGGTGTGAAAGTCAAAGGCAGTTTGATACTGACAGCATCTAGCACATGGGCTAGGCAAGCTAACTTCTATTAGCAGTCCCCTGGGAAAAAGTCATAACAAACCTCTCCCTCTCATAAAAATTTACAAAGTTCATTGAATTTAAACAATCCAAAAGGTAAAACTTTTAAAAAAAATTATCTTTAAAAGATCTTATCAAAGGACAAACAGGAATACCACACATGAAACCTCAAGTTATCTTTTGGAAACCGTTAATAAGGATGAAATTTTGCTGGTTGGGAATGAAAGAGATTTTATTGTAATCGAAAACATAGATAAAGTTACACCAAACAGTCTGGATTTAATGTGAATAGTGGCAGCCATTTCCTGTTTCGTTATTGTAGACCTGGCCAGAGATCTTGCTGGGAAATTTTTCATCAGTCTTGAAATGCTGCAGCTATAACTGTCAGTCCTGGGAAGTCATTTGTTACAGAACCATGTTTTTTTATGTTCACATTATGCAGCAGGAATAATGACACAAATAATGAAAGTGGCTGCAGGGACAGCTGAAACTACCACAACATTTTTTGTCCCAGAAATGCTTAAAAGCTTTCTCAGGAGAAAACAAGAGAGTAAAATTGAACATACAAATTGAATCCAGAACTCAATTTGGAATATATTATATTTCATGATGCACCCAGTACATGTGTTTATATACATTTGAACACACTAATGTAATGTGTGTCTACATATATATTTTGCATATAAATATGTATCTTTGTATGCACGTGCATATATTTGCATGTATATACATATCACACACACACACGAGAATATAAACAGACACATCGAGAACAATCCAGGAACAGTGGCAGAATCTTTGTCAACATAAGTTCTACTTTTGGTGGTGGTGTGCTGGGGTACCTTCCAGTAGTATGACTAAATGAAGGGAGCTGGAGAATTAGGTCATATTTACTATCTACGTATGACTGTATTTTGAAAGTGGTCTCTGTCTTTTCTATTTTAAATAAACCTCAATTTCTCCTTGTAACACACACATGCATGTATATATGCCTCTCCCACCCAACCAAAAGTCAAATCTCAATTTATGAAACTGAGTAATAGGGAGTATTAAGGATAAATTAAAACTACACATGATATAAGATTTTAGCTTCCTTGAAACTTCTAATCTAAAAATAAGAAGGAAAAATTTGCCAATTTCCTGAACTCTTGTGCC